CTCCATGGACCAATTGCGACGCGACACGTGTCCATCCATGCCAAATGGATAAATCAGCCAACAAGGCCCAATCTTTGGGGGAGGCCCAGTCAGCCCTAGGTTTACTCAAAACCTAGAGAGTGGCACGCTTCCCAATGTTATAAATACCTTCATTAATCCTCATTAAGGGAGATTACACACATTAAACACTCTCACCTAGAGAGACCAAATTACATTTATTTCCGCATTAATTACTCCTTAATCAAGTACTAACTTGACCGTTGGAGGCGGATCTCCAATCATCCGGAGCATCCGTTTGTTTTGCAGGTACAGGCGTCCGGTTCCAGTCTCAGAATTGTAACTCTCCCGTAGGACATCAAAAAACCCCGAAACAGATAATGAGAATGTTGAAACTCCTCAATTGATGAGTAGTACTAGAGAAAGGAAAATTAGGAATCCTCTAGATGACTTCATAATTTATTTGGTTGAAGGATCTAGAGATACCCTAAGTTCTACTTCTGCATATTGTTTCAATGTGGATAGTGACCCAAAGACTTATAGTGAAGCAATATCTTCCCAAGATAGTGCATTTTGGAAAGAGGCTATAAATGATGAGATGGATTCCATCATGGGAAATAACACTTGGGTCTTAGAGGATTTACCTTCCGGTTGCAAACCTCTTGGTTGCAAATGGATTTTCACTAGGAAAAGGAGACCGGATGGCTCCATAGTGAAATTTAAAGCCAGATTGGTTATCCAAGGCTTTAGGCAAAAGCATGGTGTTGATTATTTTGACACCTATGCACCGGTTGCAAGAATCACCTCAATAAGGTTATTAATTGCAATGGCTTCGGTATACAATCTAGTAATCCATCAAATGGATGTGAAAACGGCATTCCTTTATGGAGATCTAGAGGAAGAAGTGTACATGAAACAACCCGAAGGGTTTGTTTTGGAAGGACAAGAAGATAAGGTGTGTAAATTGGTTAAGTCCTTGTATGGACTTAAACAAGCACCAAAACAGTGGCATCGAAAATTTGATGACACAATTTTGTCTTTTGGATTCAAGGTGAATCAAGCTGATAAGTGTATATATAGCAAATTTGATGACAAAGGTCATGGTGTTATCATTTGTCTATATGTTGATGATATGCTTATCTTTGGTACAAGTCTACAACAAGTAGAATTGACCAAGTAATTCTTATCCTCATCTTTTCAGATGAAGGATTTGGGGGAGGCGGATGTCATTTTAGGCATCAAGATAATTCGGGACAATGGAAGACTTATTCTAAGTCAATCTCACTATGTTGAGAAAATGAACAAACGGTTTAATATGTTTGATAAGTGTCCCGTAAACACCCCCATGGAACCAAATGTCAAATTGGTTAAGAATTCGGGGAAAACAATTTCCCAATTGGAATACTCAAGGATAATTGGATCTTTGATGTATGCCATGACTAGTACAAGACCGGATATTGCATTGGCTGTGGGAAAACTAAGTAGATTTACTAGTAACCCGGGTGCACAGCATTGGTTTGCAATAAGGAGGGTCTTGAGGTACCTTAAGGGTACGTTAGACTATGGTCTATCTTATAGTGGATTTCCTTCGGGTTTAGAAGGATATTCGGATGCAAGTTGGATCACTTACAAAGAAGATGATTCTTCTGTAAGTGGTTGGGTATTTATGTTTGGAGGAGGTGCCATCTCTTGGTCTTCTAAGAAACAGACTTGCATTGCCGACTCCACTATGGCAGCAGAGTTTATAGCTCTTGCATCAGCTAGTAAGGAAGCTGAGTGGTTGAGGAATCTCATGATAGAGTTGCCTTTATTGTCAAAGCCAATGCCACCGGTGGCAATCCATTGTGATTCCAATTCGGCGTTGATAAAGGCTTATAGTCAAGTGTACAATGGTAAGTCTCGGCATATTTCACTAAGGCATAGCCTAGTGAAAGAGCTTATCAATGATGGGGTCATAAGTCTTGACTATGTTCCAACAAAGATGAATTTGGCGGATTGCTTTACAAAGACAATGCCAAGACATTCCATCATATTTGCTATGAATGGAATGGGTTTATGTCTAAAAACACAAACTTGTGAAACCCAATCTAACGCTTGAAAAAACATCAAGTCTTAGATTCAATGTGGTTGAATCGCATTTTTGATGTTTGTTAGTAATGTTTAATGACCCATATTGCTATGGTACTTGTGATGTATGAGGTAGCGTCAATTTAAAGTTCTCAAAGGTTTAGAGTTGAGAAGCTCTAAATGTAAGTGTCTTGTCACAAGGGCACAATTACGTATATGAGAACCTACATATATAAGTTCGAAGTTTAGCCGCTTCAAGAAGTCTAAAAGGACACATAGACTTCGATGAACTTATGAAAGATACGGACACATGGTTGTTTAAAGGTGTCAAGTGATGATTAATTCGATTTGTCTTATGTGTACTTCACCTTCGAATGATTGGATATATCCACATGATTCAATCTATATGGAAATCATGGGATATGATCATCGTTAAGTGTGTTGTACTAGGTGTCAATTCAATCCGAAGGGACATTGACATTGATGCATGAGATGTGGTTTAATTGTAAGAAGTGGAGAATGTTTTAAGTAACACTCTAAATGGGGGAGGATTGTTGGAAGATTTAGAGTATTGATGGTTGCGCGCTCACGAACCATGAGGAGCGCCCGCGCTGGGTAAGCGCGGCCGCGCCTAAACCGCGAACCTCACTGGAATCTGAAGGTTTGGAAGGAGAAAGTTGGCGCGCCCGCGCGTCATTTGGCGCGCCCGCGCGTCACAAGTGGCGCGCCCGCGTTTGGGTCGCGCCTAAACCGCGCCCCCTTCTGCCTCCCTTGGTGAATTTGGAAGTACAGGAGAGGAGCGCCCGCTCCTAATATAGGAGCACCCGCTCCTCCTGGTTGGCGCGCCCGCGCTGCTGGTCGCGCTAAAACCGCGACCTCTTCTGCCTTCCTGTAAATTTCACATGTTTTGGGAGGAGCGCCCGCTCCACATGTAGGCGCGCCCGCGCCTCCTGGTGGAGCGCCCGCGCCTGTCAGTTTTTCGCGAAATTCTGACGGTTAAGTCTTTAATAAAAGGCTTGTTTTTTGGAGATTCCGAGAGATAAGAAAAAATCTCTGATCTTCTCTCCAAAAGTATTCTCTACATTTTCTATCAAAAACTTTGCAAACTTTTGTTAAAAAAACTCTTGCAACCATTCCAAATTGTGTGAATTTATCATCTTTACTTCGATTGTAGTACTAAGAACGAAGTGGCTGTCAATTGTATCTCAAAGGAGATTTCCGGTTTAAACCCAAGTACCGTGTGGGGGAAATAAACTTCTTTAGGAAAGTATTCATACGCCTTTGATAGTTATCAAGGTCATAGTCTCAAGGGGCATTGCAATTCTCGTGTTCATGTGTGCTATGATTGGCTTGGAGTAGAGGCAAGTTACATATTCTTCACATTAGTGTTTTGTTTAGAAATTTCTGTAATTTCTTAAACTTATTAATACTTGATTGTAACACCTTAGTTGTGTTTGTTGTAATTACTTTACTTTGTTATTGTAATTACATTATTTAGGTTTTGTCCCACACAAGTTTTAAGTGCATTTCTAGTTAGAATTCACTGAAAACCTAACATAATAGACACGACAAACAGAGCTAGAACAGGGCCTTACACTATTCAACAAAAAAAAAAAAAAAAAAAAAAAAAAAAAACCTTTACAAACTCATGGACACGACACTAGACGACTAATATTATTGGAACGTATAAGTAGATAAATAACACTGATTGTACGATATGGACATAGAATTACAACTATAACTGCTAACATTAGACACGGATTTCTTTCTTAGGTAGCTTGGAGAGTCAGACATAAGGCGGTTAACGAACTTCCACTTTTTGCCAATCTGGGACCTGCAATCACATGCAAAATTAGCAAGGGAAACTAGGGGGTTGGGGCGCTAGAAGTTGTAGACACCTAATTGTGTCTCCCCGACCCAAACTCAGTGATGAATGACCTTTTATCGCCAATTAGTCACATTGCGCATCGAAATTAAGAATTGTTTAACTCCTAGGTCGTCTTTATTTTAATTCACCTAATCCAATCTATTCATATCCCAAACATCCATTCAAATCCTTTTTCTAACTCAAAATCCGCAAACCAAAACCCAATTTTCTCTTTTCGTGACCGCGGTCCAAAACCAAGCAAATCTGATTTTTGTGGTTCATAACTTTGATTCAAATCCGATTTGATTGAAGAACCCTTGAAATAAGCTTTACAATGACATATCATAAGCAAAATTCCGACTTAAAACGAAAAAAATATGAACAAAATACTAAAACTTGGCCCAAAACCGACACCCTTACACTTAAACGGAGGGAGTAGCAGTTGAATAGTTGTTATATATAAAAATCAATATTTTTTTTTTTAAACCATAGATTAAATTTCAACCGCTACTTTAACAGGTACCTCTAACTTCTAAAGCTAATATTTACTCCCATAGTATTTAAATAAGCGTTACACTTTGACTTTTTTCACTATTTACATAATGACTTTGACTTGATTATTTTACTAACATATATAAAAGGAAAAATTTACAAAAATAATCCCACCTTTTGCAAGTTTTCTTAAAATAGTCTCATCTATCAAAAATCTCGAAATAATCCCACCTTTAACGGTCATATTCTCAAAATGTTAAACCACTAAAAACTATTCAAAAACTAGGGCCGAACATATCTATAGGTCTTGAGTCACCCATTGTAGGTGCTCTAATGTGGTGTACATTCTTTAAAATTAAATAATCATAATAGTCACATGCAATACATTTGACCAATTACAAACTTACAACATAGCAATAAAATTAAAAGAGTCCAAATTTACTGCACAATTATAAGTCTTCTTCATTCCAAATCAAGCAAAAATTGAAATTCTACCTTCCCACTACAGTAAAATTAAGTCCTATTAACTCCTAAAAATAAAAAAAAAAAAAAAAAAACAAAAAAAAAAAACATCAAATTAATTCAGAAAAGGTCTTCTGGTATCATCAGGAATGTGTTGATGATCATCGATATCAATATCATCGCCACAATCAGAAATCACAGATCCAACAAGCCCTAATTGATCTTCCAAATACCTCTGCAACAACATCCACCCTAATTCTCTCTCCTCATCATCATCATCGTCACCTTCGATAACCTCCACTCTCTCTCCTCCTCTTCCTTCCTCACACCGCCGTAATCCGCCGCCATATCTCCGGCGCCGGCGGCGATGACGGCGGCAGAGACAGAAGTACAGTTGACAGAGACAAATGACGGGAAACGATAGACAGAGAAGAGGAAGTAGAAGTGGAGAACAAATGGTAAGGAAGATGAATCGGCGACGACAGTTGAGAAAAAGCCATGAAAATGGGGATAATATCGAAGATGAAGACGATTGTTGTTGTTGTTGTGGTTGGAAGATTACCGGAAGAGTTTTCAGTGTCATTATTTGATAATCGGGAATTTTTTCTTCATTTTTAAAAGAATTTAGTTTTGTTTTCTGGGATGAGTTTTCTGGGATGAGTTTTCTGGTGGAAGAAGGAGAAGAAATAGGAATGAATAATACTACGTAATTAAGATTTGGGTGCGGCGGAAGGATGCACATGGTGTATGAATTCTGGTCATTTTATGCGTAAAGGGGAGCATGTGGGTTGGCATGAGTACCACTCTCTTTCTCTACCTTCATGTTCGAGTTGGATTCTTAATTCTTACAGTATTATGGGTTTGGATTAGGATTCAGATTTTAGTATGGGTTTGGATTAGGATTCAGATTTTAGTATGGGTTTATTAGGTTTATTGGGTTTACTTTTGGCCCACTTTTTTTAAGAGTTTAATGTAGGCCCGTAGAGTTATGAACTAGTGGTTGTTTGTTTAGATGTAAGAAGTCATTCTCTGTTGTAATTTGTTAGAGATGGTCAATGTAATATTCGAAAAAAAATTCTACTCAATATCATTAAGTTTTTATTCGGCAAATTCATGTTAATCTTTTTTATTGCTATACCAAGTAAATCAAGGGGTTTTGCTGGAATTTCCCCTACTTTAGTCGGGGTCAGTTTTGTACTTTCATGTCATGACATGGTAATTGCCCCACGCTGGCCATGTACACGCAGCTAATCGTTGACGTCTCATTACCATTTACCGTGACGTTTAGATTTTGCTCCGTTAACGTGCTCTGTCAACGTATCATTAATCATTTCTATAATTTCTAAGAGTTCTTCATTGTTTTCCCCAATTTCAATTCAACTCCGCTCAAATTCGTATTATCAGCATTTGTCGATTTCTGGGTTTTTTTTTTCTTTGAAACAATTTATGGGTATTATCTAAAATACAGTTCCCATTGTGTGAGTTCTTCTATATTCTCAGTTCATTTTCAATTACATCCCATTGGATTCTTCACACTTTTTCCCAATTTAATTTCAGCTACCTTCAAACTCGTATCTAAAATTGTCGAATTTTGGGAATTACAGAGAATATGTTGTTTGGGGTCCAAATAACTTGTATTTGGACCCAGTCCATAAATGAAAATAAACAAAGCCCAATTGGCAAGGTTCAACCCTCAAACTCTAAAGCCAGGTCATGTAAAGCAAGGCCCAGTTAAATGGCAGCCCATTTAACTCCTCAAGCCCAATCCACACAATTGGAGTAAGGTATAAAAGCTTACATTTTTGTACAATTACATTCATTCACAAATATTGCCTCAAGCAACAAACTATCTTGCATAGCTTTTCTCTCATTACCTTACATCCGTACTGACTTCGACATCGGAAGGGCCTTCCTCGGCACAACCCCCGAGGCCAGTTTACGTTTGTTCAGCTGTGCAGGAAACCCTCAATTCGATCATCACTCGAATTGGGCTTCATCTCCACTCATCCGAAGGACCTACCGAAGGTCCATTGTTTTCAAACCGAAACAATTTGGCGCCGTCTGTGGGGATACTTACAAAAATTCAGCCAAAAATCTCATACCAATCTTAGCCAACGCAAAAATGACTAAGAGTGCAAAGAGCTCTAAAAGGCAAGAAAAATGGGCCTAATAACGGTGAAGACCGGTAGGACACCTTCACCGTCGCCTGAACCATCTGCTTCTAACTCCCTAAGAGGAGAAAATATGCGCGTGGGGTCTCTCTCCCAACGGGATTACCAAACTGGGAACTCGCCGAGGGAGAGTGAGGCTCATAAGCGGAGTCCTTCACCAAGCATGCATTCAACACCTCCCACCGGTCCGTCGACTGAAGAGGTAATGAAGGCCATGGCTGTGTGCATGGACTTTATGAACGCTTTAGGAGGACGCTTCCCATCAACGAAAAAATCACCCTCTCCTCCTCTTAAATCGCATGATCGGAAGAGAAAAAGTGGTGCCGAGGGAGAGAGGCAGGCCCCGTCCTCAAAAGGGGAAGGAAGCCGAAGGGCTGGGCGTCCGGGCGGGTCCGGGCAGGAATAGAGAAGGGGCTCCGGTCACTTCGAAAACTCCAAAGCTCGGAACTCCGAAGATCATCATGACAGCCATAATGTCTCCCGCCGAAGCGTTCACGAACGCCTAGGTGGCAAAGAGGGAGGCGTGCATAGCCGCCTCACCTATTCGGAAGGGTCTCAACCCGCCATGCCACGTGAAGGGACACCCCCTGCATCCACCTCTCTAAGAGGGAGAAGTAGGGTTCCTTCGTTGCGGCAGAAGGGAAAGGTTGTAATGGTTCCAACCAGTTCCCCATTCCAAAGGTGGATACTGGAGGAACATGTGCCGACGGTTAAAATTCCGGCACACATTATGTACGATGGTACTTCGGATCCAAAGGATCACATAGCCTCTTATGAGGGGCATATGTACCTTAACCCCAGGTCCGAAGCTACTTGGTGCAAATACTTCCCTACAACCCTTAAAGGTGTTACCCAATCATGGATCACCAAAGGGCTGAACGAAGGCTCGATAACCGGTTGGAGCGATCTGGCCAACAAGTTCAAGAGCAAATTTTCCACGGCTAACCACCGAGAGAAAACTACTGCAGAGCTTATGGGCCTGCAGCAAGAGGAAGACGAAAGTCTCCGAGACTATTTGACTCGCTTCAGCAACGAGTCGTCCAGGATCACAAGTCTGGATCAAAGCCTAGCCGTACTCGCACTACGGAACGGCTTACAAGCTGGTAAATTTCTGGATTTCATGGTCATGCATCCCCCGCAGACCTTGGAAGAAGCCCTCGACGCTTCGGATAAATTCATCCGGCCCGAGGAATGGAATAAGGCAAAGCTGCAATCTCAGACAGGGCTTGTAAAGCCAAAAGGGCAGCCAGCCGAAGTTCCAGGGTCGAGGAAAGGGAAGGCAAAAGCCTCAGAACCTCCCTCGACTGCAGAGCCGAAGAAGGATAAGGCTCCCTATCTGGGAAAATTTGAATCTTACACCCCTCTCACCTTACCACGTACTAAGATCTTTAGTGCGACAAGGGAGGAGGGAAGATTCAAAAAGCCGAAGCCACCTCCTTCTTGGCACCAGAAGAAAGGGAAGGACCATTGGTGCGAGTTCCACGAATCCCGTGGGCACCGCACCGAGGACTGCCTTCAGCTGAAAGACCAGATTGAAGAGCTGGTCCAGAAAGGGTACTTAAAGAAATATGTCGCGGAGCGCCGCGAAGAAAAGAAAGCCGAGAGAGACTCTCGGCAGGATCTGGACTACCACCGGAAAAGGGACAGGCCTCCTGAGGGAGGAAACAACGACATCCTGACCATTTCCGGGGGTATTTCTCGGAATGCACTAAAGCGCCATCTAAGGGGTCTCACCCATCAGATTCATCATGCTGAATTCCGAAAACCGCAGTCTCCGATGCCGAACATGATATTCACATCCGAAGACTGCAGGGGGGTGGTGTATCCCCATGATGACCCACTGGTCATCATGACAAGCATCGCAAACCACAACGTCTATCGGACACTGGTAGACGATGGCAGCGGGGCGAATATACATTTCCGAAAGGCATTCGACCAGCTGAAGTTGGAGAGCAAGCACTTGACTCCAGTTCCATACCCGGTCACTGGGTTCAACGGCTCTCCTTCATATCCCGATGGGAAAATTCTTCTTCCCGTCAGCCTCGGCCAAGACCGAGCAAGACGAAGCATCATGGCCGAATTCTTGGTCATCGATGCCCCATCAGTATACAACGTCAATATGGGGAGACCCCTCATCCGTGATGTTTAAGGAGTCGTCTCGACATATCATCAAGCAATGATCTATGTTTCAGACGAGGGACGCTCCGAAAAAATCTTGGGCAGCCAAAGAGAGGCCCGAGAGTGCAATTTCCTCAAGCCATCCAAGAGTCGTCGCAGTGACAAGGATGATGAGGAAGAAAAAGAGAAAGAAAAGGAGCGAGGTACCAAAAGGCCGAAAGGCCTAAGTGCTTCGGCTCAGGGGTCCCCAAAATAGAGAACATCTCCGGGGACTGGAAAGGCAAGCTCTTCGGCTGGACCGAAAGATTCGGACGAAGATCAGCCAAAGAAAGGGAAGTATGCTGATATTGACAGTAGACCTGAACCAGAAGAGCCTGGCTCCAAAGAAATGGAGTCAGATGAACAAACTGAGTCAATACCGTTGACCAAAGGAGATACTGAAAAATGTGTCAGCATCGGGCAAGGGCTCGATCCGAGCCTCCGGGTTGAATTAATCCAACTCCTTCGGGACAACCGAGATGTGTTCGCATTCTCAGCAGCTGACATGCCGGGAATTGATCCGAACCTTATCTCACACAAGCTTAATGTCGACCACACACGTCGGCTAGTTAAGCAAAAGAAGCGGAATTACTCCGCTCAGAAGAACCAGGACATAGCAGCCGAAGTCAAAAAACTTCTGGATGCAGGGTTCGTTGAGCCTTGCCAATACCCTGAATGGCTGGCGAATGTGGTAATGGTTCAGAAAGCTAATGGCACCTAGAGAATGTGCGTTGACTTCACGGACCTGAATAGGGCCTGTCCGAAGGACTTCTATCCCTTGCCGAGAATCAATCAGCTGGTCGACTCGACAAGTGGCCATGCTCTGCTCAGTTTCATGGACGCATTTTCTGGGTACCATCAGATTTTCATGCACCCCGATGACAGAGCAAAAACGACATTCGTTACAAGCGCCGGGGTGTATAACTATAAAATGATGCCCTTCGGCCTGAAGAATGTCGGGGCTACATATCAGAGGTTGGTGGACCAAGTGTTTGCCGAGCAAAAAGGCCGCAACATGGAAGTCTGTGTTGACGATTCCATCGTCAAGAGAAAAGAGGCGAAAGACCATGTTGCAGACCTAGCCGAAACGTTCGCCACTCTGAGAAAACATCAAATGAAGCTGAATCCGAAGAAATGTGTCTTCGGCGTGAGGTCTGGGAAATTCCTGGGCTTCATGGTCAGCAAGAGGGGGATTGATGTCAATCCCGCCAAAGTTCAAGCAGCTCTTGATCTTCCCGAGCCGAAGACAAAAAGG